ATTAAAGATTTTCTTCCGCCACGTACTTAATAATCAGCCAGGATGACTGAAAAGAAACATGAAAAGGGTGAATAAAGCAGAAAAAGCAACAGAAAAATTCTGAAAGGAGCATTTTTTGAGTGAGCTCAGAAGTTCACTGACAGCTGCCTGGTTGCAGCTGAAGCCCCCAGGAAGTTCATCCTCTCTGCTGTCACAGGTAGGGTTTACCACTGTGATGTGCAGTTTAGATACTGGGGTGGCAGCCCCTGAGGGAGCCCTTGAGATCCTTTTTGGATCCCATTTCAGAGGGAGGTTCCCCAGTTTTGGACACTGGTGTGAGGAACCAAGTCCCAGCTATGGAATTAAACACACTTGTGTGACATGACAGTGTCAGCACAGTGACCTGGGAATGGCAGTGGACACCTCTTTCTGTTGCTCTGGGGTGTCACAGGAACAACAGTTCCTGTTGTATTAGAAGGTACCAGGATGTGGTACCCGGACAATGCCTCAGGACACCCACTGCCACCTCCCACACCTCCCCCACCATCAAACAGTGACCCTTCCCCACCTTTCCCAGCTGCTCCTCAGTCGTCCCCCTGCTCCCCTCATCCACAACCCTTTCTCCCCTCTCTGAGCACATTTTCCTACCTGTCTCTCTCCTGTCCTGACATGTGACCCAGCCCCTCTGCCCTGCAAGGCCACCAGCCTGCAAATACCCTTTATTGCACTTGGCCTCTGCTCAGTACACACAACAGGATCAGCCCAGCAGCCTGCACTGGGGGGACACCTCTTGTTTGGGCCTGGCATGGAGGAATTCCAGTGGAACACCGTGATCCAGCTGCTTCTAAGGGCAACATGACCCAGTTTAGTGCTAGTTCTTGTTAACCTCGAGCAGAGAGAGGATCCAGCATCAACTGGGTGCAACAGAGACCACGGCAGAAGCACAGGGCTGAGGTAGTTTGGCCTTTCATTTTGTCTGCAGCATTTTCAATGCCTCAGTTCTGACTTGCCCACCACAAGCTTTCTGTAGGATGTATAACCATACACAACAGAGGACAAACTGTTTTAACACTTGGGGATGTCACTCCATGAAATGTCCTTGGCTCTGTCTTCTGTAACAGGTGTCTTAGGAAACATGCACTAAAGGCCAAAGGAATTAAAATCAAAACTGGTGTCACCCTTTCATGCAGCAGTTGAATAAAGCAAAACAAATTAGTATTATTGCTCAAGTGCTGCTGGAAGGATGATTTTTAAAGTTCATGACTGAAGACTAGGAGAAAAATATAGTTATTTACCCTGGCCACAGTTTAGAAGTGATGCAATAGTCATGACCTAATTAAAGCAAAAGCAGCAAGGCAGGTAAATCAATAAGGACAACACTTCCAGTTGTGTTTGCACACTTCATACACAGGTGTCCTCCTTGAAACAAAAGCTGAAATGCTACTGTGAAAACTGGGAATCAACACTCCAGGAAGGTAACTCAGAAGCAGAATTTGCAGCAGCAGTTCTGCAGGAAAGCAATTCAGGACATATGGATTGAGAATGCTGTCACCAACAAAGGAAAATCCTGCTCAGGCTATTCTTCCTGCATTGCTGCTGCTGCTGGATTTTGGGAGCACCATCACTGCAGACACAGCTGCACAGGAACGATCACAGGCCTATACAAGAACTGCTGCCACCTCACAAAAACTCCCATCTAAAGTCCTAGAGTGATGTATTAACAAAAAGGGACAATGTGACTGGAAAGAGAAGGCAGCCTGAAGAAACATTCCCGGGTCTTGCCTCCAGATTTCAAAGGACAAGATACAAAGTGGAAAATTTTTATAAATACACCGGCATGATTAGTGAAAAGAGAGAGAACACCTACACCAAGCCTTCCCAAAAGCAGAAGTGTAGTCCCAGTGGGCAAAAAGGAAGCTCCTTGACATAACACACATCAGCCCAGAGTATTCCCTGATTGCTGTTTATCCATTTTTGGTAACTCTTGGGACAACAACTCTATGACACAGTGGGGACCTGCCAGTGATGCTCCCCAGCACCCCTGTGCCAGGACATGCCCTGCACAGCCTTTGGGTTTATCATGATGCCGTGCCCTAGGAACAACTAGGGAACAACTGGGGTGTGCCAGGGCTGAGCACTGGGGGAGAGACTGGGCCATCAACACATGGGGCAGGGAGACAATAAGGCAAAACAGTGAAATAAGAGAGGGCAGGAGGGATGGAACCTGCTTGACCCATCTTTGCAGGCACTGGTGTGGGACATTTGGAGCTACAAACCAGCGTTGATCCCATTCCTGGCTGCTCTAACATACCCCAGGATCAACAGCCAGGCCTGAACTGAGGCAAGACAGAAAGTCTGCAGCAGTGGAAAGAGCACAGACAGTGCACAGCTCCTCCTTTGAAGGAGGCCACTGAGGAGGATTTTCAGGCTTTGCAGAGGCAGCCAGGAATGCTCAGATCTAAACGGAGGGATAGAGCAGAGCAGAGGTCAGAGCTCCTTCAGCAGAGCATCTGGAGTAGATGTGTGACCTTCTCCTTCAGAGAGCTCGGGGTCAGGCTTTTAACTCAGTTCTAGACATTCCTCCTTACCTGAAAATAATGGGTTTTGCAGCATGAGAAACCAGGCTGTGCTGCACAATGGATTGCCATAGGAACAGGACATGAGAGCAGGACTGCAGGACAATATAGGGCAGGGAACTGAGGACACACATTGCATCCCACTGGAGCAGCAGGGCACATCCCAGGAGTGCTGAAAGCAATTACTGGGATGGGAACCCTGCCAGCCCCCCCCAGCCAACAGCCATCCCTGCAAAATCCCTGCAGGACACCTGGGCTGCAGCTCCACATTGCTACGGATGAGGCACCTCCAAACACACAGGGACACTTAATGTTTTGGGGTATTAAATCAGAGAACAAAAAACACCACCTACCAAACCTCCAGCAGCTCCCCACAGCACTGAATTCTGCATCTTGGCTGTATCAAGTGCTTAATTCTTCTGAAGTTACAGTTAGCAAGAAGATAAGAAGATTTTTAAGCCAGTATTTAAAAACAAGTATGAATCTAAGTCTCTTCGTGAACATCAGTGATTTTTTCTGAGCAAGAGTCCAAGTGACAAAAAAAAGTCCAGTTGACGAGTTTCTTGCTAAACCTTAGAGGACATTCCCCACCATTATGAAAGCTGTCCGTGACTGGAAGGTGCTCAGACATGGGATTTTTAAATACAATACTGTAAAAGATTTACTAGTTTGTTTTGGGTTTTAATTGGCTAAGCCATTTGAAGACCAGATAAATCTTTATTGAGTGATGTCTTTATTCTGCTAATATTGACTAACATTTTACAGCCCTGCACATACTCTGTCTGAAGCCACTGCCCTTAAAATCACAGCCCTATTTACATTTCTACCGAACAAAATTCAAAAGTAAACAGGGTGTCACTTCCAAGGTACTTAAGAATTAACACGTGGTTGGGTGTAAAGCACACGTCTGGCCTGAGCTGTGCTGCCTGAGGACAGGCTCAACAGAGCATTGCAAAGTTTCACAAGTCATTAGAAAGAAAAAATTGTAAGGAGAGAAAAATCTTTGCTTCATGGAATTAGAATGATACCAAGACATGAACATGACCTTCCTCTTGGCTGGCAAAAGCTCTACACAGCTATTAAGTACAGGATATATTTACTGGGCATAAATATTATGAAAGCTTGCTTAAAAGCAGCTGCATATAAATTGATTTGAAAATTACATCATATTTTATAACTTTTAACGATTTTCTATTTTTTTCAGATTTGGGCTTTTTAGAAAACCTTTTTTTTTTTTTTAAGAAAACTTCTGTGTAATCTTTTGTTCCCTGTTTTTCCAGGGAGCTGGATAAGCAAAGCTGCTACAAACACAAAAAAGCATAAAAGGCTGGAAGGGGAAGAAAACTGTGTGAAGGAGCATTTAAACATTCTTAGCTTTCCCCTGTTACCAAACAAAACGTCTTACCTTGATAATAAATGAATTCTAATGTTGATTCAATACAGAAAACTGCCTTTTTAACTGGTTCTTAGATCCCCATAAGAACGCTGGAAGTTCATTTTGCTCTGTTTCAAAGCACAGTTTCCATTTCTTTGCAGAAGGAGGAATGTATTCTGTGTCCTGAAGAATTACAGCAAATTGGATGTGTGTTTGGCCCAGAGACCACACAGAAGCACAAATCCAATGTCATGCCTGTGGAGCAGGTGCTCTAACACTCCCTGGAACAAAATGAGCAGACCCAGCATGACACTCCTAATTGCTCCTAATCTTTTTTTTTCTTTTTTTTTTTTTTTTTGCTTTAAACTGAGCAATTTGCACATTTTGGTTCACAAGCAGATGATTTATTTCCCTTAATTACTGCACCCAACC